TGTATCTGAACAGTGCGAATTCGTGTCAACAAAAGTTTCCCCTTCTAAATCTCTTAGCAACTTATTAATTTCGTCCTTACTCAGACCTTTAAAACGAGGTGCCATAATAAGAACTGAATAAGAGAGCGAGGAAAAAAGTTACACTGAAATTACAAGAAAGAGCTCTAATGTTGAAAGAGAGATAGCATCTGTTTTGTTTTCACGTACATTGGGGCGAGACGTCTTCGCCAAAACATAGCCAACCAGATAAGAAACGGAACACAATGCATAGCCAGGGGCTGCTCTGACATAGGAAACTGGAAAACCTAGAGATTCTAAAGATAAACGGTTACTCTAAAAGGGGGAAAGAAAGGCTGGTACAACAGTTGTACCATAGTCAGCTTAAAAGCAAGTAAATTTTGTGGTACAACAGTTGTACTCATGGCTTTAGAAAGTTAATGAATGAATTTTCAAACCAGTCATTAAAGAGAGCTATTGCAAAATGGCCAATGTTCTACAGTATACTGCATATCAATGAATTTTTTTAAAATTAAATGGTGACACTTAAGATAATGTGGATATGCAAAAATATTTTTAGCAAGAGCTTACTATACAATGCCATTTGAAATACTTTATTAAAATGTTACCCACATATTTGCAATAATTTCTGTTATTGTATATTTGCAACAGCAGTGATTGGTAAAAATATTTGCAAATAAAAAAGTGTTTATCATGTAGTTTACAATAAAACAGCACTAGCTATTATTTATAAATGTAGTGATATTGTTCATAGTCATTAAAGTTTTAAGCAAGAACCAATATGCAGAGATTTTGTGAAAAATAAGAAAGTGAGGAAATGAATTTCACATCTGTTAATGAGCATATAACAGCTACCAATTTCAAAAACAAGTAAGATTTTTTTTTTGTATTTTGTTTCATAAAAGGAATTAGGTATTAATTTATTCTGTTGCTAGTTAATTGTAAATCACCAAGAGAACAAATGAAAAAACGGAGAGAGTACTTCGAAAATATAAGCTAATTTCAATGCATCTAACTTTCATTAACGAAAGATCAATATACATGCTACTTAGGATTCGATAATACTGCAAGCCATGCTGTTGCTCTTTACTGGATAAATATTTTATATGATTTTAAGAATGCTAATTTTTTAATAAACATTATTGTTTATTTATAATATATATACTATTATAAATAGTATTGTAAGCACCTTGGACAAACAGCAAGGTAGCATTTTATTTTTAAATTTAGTATTTTCTCTAATTTTATCTTTATTATAATTTGAAAGCATTTTTAACTTTTCATTTTGCATTCCTTTAATTACCTTCTTAACATATATGCTTGAGTATGTTCAAGGCTTTAATTTTTTACAAAATAAATAAATAAATAAAATCTCCAGGACATTTGGGCATCATTCATTCAGCAATTAAAAAAAACTGATGAAAATTGAAATGCTTTTTCTGAAACAGGTGGTATGCATAGACTCCAACCTTCAGCAAACCTTGTCAGTAGTCAACGCGCAAACGACATTTTTACAACTTTGAAAATGTGCGCGTAGCATATGTTGTAATTAACCATTCATTAATTTTAAATTAATAATTAATTGTAATCAATTTTATTACATTTAAAATCCATATACATATAAAACTGAATAATTAAAAATATATCTTGTAAATTATACGCACATTTAATTAGAAATTTTCTTTTAACTCCTCAAGCATTCACTAATAAAAAGTACTTCAAATCACTACTAATCATAGAAAAAATCAGAAGCTATAAATCATATCTTTATTCTGGATATGATTTCTACAAGGAAATAAAAATTTAAATAACCAAGAATGATACATATAAGTATTAAACAAAATACGCATAATTTATGAATGCAAAGATTTATATGTAGCATGCTTAGCAAGCTTAAGTTCTGATTTTTGAGAATGTTTTTTTATAACACAGTTCTTCATTTGCCTGCATATTTATTTTTTCAATCAAACTGCTTCAAGAGTTTTAAGACCTTTTTGGTCGAAATTCCGTTCTGATTTTTTTTAACAATAGAAAAAATTCTTTCACAAGCTGCATTTGAATGAGGTATTATTAAGACAGCAAGCATTACAGAAGGCAATACTTTGTATTAATACACCCATTCATATTTTTTAATTTGGCAATTTCTCCCCATGCTATATCAATACGCAAATCTACAATTTCTTTCAAATCATCTACTTGATACATGGAAAATTCAATTTCTACTTGATTAAGACATTTTTCATCAATAATGGATGGAAAAGTATTCATCAAGTAAAGAACAGATGAAAATAAGACTTCAGTTCTCAAGTTGATGTCAGCAACTTCAGCATGTTTTAGAAATGGATCACTCAGTGGAAATTTATCAATTATATATGAACATGCAGTTACAAAAAAAGCTCGCACAGAATTGAAAAATGATTTCACTTCACTTTCATTCAACTTGGCATTTTTTAAATATAGTCTTGTTTCCGCACCAATCACTAAATTTTCATTTTCTTTTTGTTTACTATACTTCTGAAATGGAATAGACGTTAGAGTAACATCTTCATTTTCTTTAGAAATTACTGATGGTTTTACGAATCTAACAAATAAATTCATTAAAAGTTCAAAAAGTTCTCTTCTCAATTTATGTATATAAGAAGCTTGTTGTTGCAAATTAATATTTACTGTTATAAACAAAGGCAAAGAGGCAAAGTATTTTTCAAAAATAACAAGTACAATTTGGCGGTCGGTGACTGTAAAATTTTTTTAATGTTTTGCAATCTCTTTCCTTCATTCTCACTGTTATCTGGTTTATCTCCAAAAAAATTTATCACAGCATCCCACTGTTCCAAAATCCTTGTTATAGATTCTAAAAGAGACAACCATCTTGTACTGCAATATTTCAAAATTTTATGAGATTTTGCATTCTGTCCCAAAATTTGTTGAGCAACTTTGAAGCTATGCTTCCGTTTCGAACTTTTCTCCAAGTAAAAATATATATCTATTATCAACATTTCAATTTCTGAGCCAATTAATTTTTCAGTAGCTTTTTTTGCAGCTATATGCAAGAGGTGGCACGGACAACCTCGGGTGATTATACTTGGTTGATGCATTTTGATAAATGATGCTACACCTTTAAAACTTTCCAATCATATTACTAGCATTATCTGAAGAAAATGATAAGCAATTTTTCCATTCTAAACCTTTGTTTTTAAAGTTTTCATTTATACAATTAAAAATACCTTCTCCTGTATTATTCGTGCATTCTAAAATAGAAATCAATGAAGTAATTATCACTCCCTTTTCTTTACTGTAGTATGTTATAACCAATGGGTACAGTTTGTTATCATTGTTATCATTGTTATCATTACTTCCATCAGTACTTAGAGAAAATGATGTACTGCACACTGATTTTATAATATCAGCAACAGTATTTTCTGCAAGCGTTTTCACAATAGCAGCAGTTTTGGTATGACCGCAGCTAAATTTTTTTGCTATGGCAGAATCCGGAAGCATTGCTTTGAAAAGCTCTTTGGAATGATCCGAAACAGAAAGCGGTAGAGATTATGTTCAATTAAAAAACGAACAAAACATAGCATTCGGCTTTTATAGGATCTGTTTCATCATCTTTTATTAAGAAATTTGTTATTTCTTTAGATTTTACGGTGCCAAGTTCTATATGCTTTGAGAAAACACATGCCGTTTACAGTCATCTTTTCCGCCATGAGCAAACTGAGAAGTCTTGTTGCATACACTGCAGTGTGCGTGATTCACAGAAATTTCGGACGCTTTAATTCATGGAAATTCTGAAGAATATGAATCTTTAAACTTCTGCTTTGATAATTTTGGCTTCTTTGTTCGAGGCCAGCATATGATTAAAAATCTTTCACCTGATTCACAGTTCACAAGACACACGCTAAGCTCTCGCCGTAAACTACACAATGCAGCCGAATGCAGCCTAAACACGCATCAGCGAGGAACCTGGGAGACAGACAATTGGGTGGAACTATTGATAAGTCGTTAACGGTTGGAGTTACTGATCTATGATTGGCTAATTCTTCAAAACTAGGAACGCACTCAACACGTGATATATGATAACACGAGTATTCAGCCAATCATCGGATGAATTAGTTGGTTCCGTTTTGCGTACTGGTTCTCCTGCTCTTGTTTCTGTAAAATCCGTAGTTTTTTCCATACTTTTCGTAGCTTGTAGTTTTTCATGAATTTCCGTAGAAACTACGGAGAATCCGTAGTAGTTGGAGTCTATGGGTATGTTACAGTTAACTTTATGATATCCCTAAAAGTAATTATCACAAGGAAGTGCATTACATGGAAAGAACAAACAGACCTAGATTAGAGATTGACAGTTTTGTCATTAAGTCATTTCTGACGTACATTTGAATGGTTATGTAATTGCTTAATCTGCACTCAGTTTTGGATGCAAACACATTTTATTTTCAGTAAATTCAGTGAGAAAATTTTAATAATAATTTTTTATATATTCATATGTGTGTATAAATTTTTAACAAAAATATATACTTATAACATGACATTAACTATAGTCCACAAAATTCTCTAATTTGCATAGCCCTTGGTCCTCAGCAGCATGAATTAACACAGTTCTGCTGTATGCAATTTCTCACTGATCTTAATTTAAAGTAATGAATTTTTCTAACTGCTCTTTGTCTATCAATTTAATTTTAGTACTTATTTGTTATCATTCATTTTTTTCACAGGACTTTTTTAATCTCTTGACATAAACTCGACAAGAAACTAGTAGAAAATTATTTTGCCTATGCAAAATTTTTATTTAAAGAATATGTTGAAAATGCTTACTTAAAAAATTTATAAAATTTGTATTTCTGAGTTGGGTCACATGCATAATGAATCAGCTTGCCTTTACATTACTTTTAGTTTATAATAAAATTAAAAACTTTACATAAAATACTAGACATTTTTTATATTAAATTTCTCTTATTTCAAAGAAAAATTGCACATACCATTCATACTCTCAGGTTTAAAAGCAACTTCCACTTCAAAATTGAGATAGGCATCAGGTAATGTTGGCATCTTCATGTATGACAATGGAGTTTGAGAGAAATATGGAACAACCCCTGAAAAATGCAGACAGTGCATACTAAATTCAATAGGTTGAGCTAGCAATTAATACATCAATAAAATTTAAACACACAGCTATCAATATCAGTTGTACAAAGTTATATTCTGTTGCAAATATTTCTATTTAACTGCAATGCTGGTTAATCACCAGCATCATCCTCTTACAATGAGTACAGTATTTTATTTTTATGTTGTCTTACTGAGAAATAAGATGGCTCATTTTTCTGTTGGATTTTTGCCCTGGATATTAAGATCATTTTCACAGTTCCTCTTCCTCCTCACTCTCTTTTCTGTACATCAGGATTTTACAATATTAGGCTTCCTATATAGATTCAATTCGATGTTTATTGGAATGTAGTTTTAACAATATTCCAGTATAACACACTTATACCGAAACAGCAAAGTTGTATCAGTCTCTTCCTGATTTCTATACTGCTACATTAGAGCGAATATGTATTACCTGTTAATATTAGTGTCAGAAACTAATTGATTATACAGTCAAAAGTCGTTAATTCGGACACCCATAATACGGAATGATCTATAATCCGGACCTCAGAGCTACAAACTTTCTGCGCATGCGTCGCGTCGACGTAAGACCTTTACGGCTGCGAATATGAGTGAGCACGTGCGCAAAATACGTTTACGAATGTGCGTTTAATGTATAACGGACGGTATAAGCTAAGCTAAAATTATCTAATTCTAATGTTGCAGATTGCGTTGTTCCTTAATCTTCGAATCGGATTCGGCTTATTATTTTTTGCAGACTGTTAGAGCAATTTTAAAAAAGTAAGCTTGAACTTTCGATTATGTCAAATAGAATTTCTGATATATATTTACTAATATGTAAAGGATCTACAAAGCGAAAGTATGTTTCAAAGTCCATTAAACAAAAAGTGGAATTGCTGCAAAAAACGGATAAAGGCATATCCTTTGTTTATCTAAACTGCAACATTTGTTTATCTTTAACACCGCGGCGGGCGCGCAATGAATTGGAAGTTGATCTGTCAACACTATCTTATCTTCAGGGCAGATTTTTTATTTTATTTGGCTTATAATTCCTTACTAATGCAGTACTTCATCTCGATGTACTCCGTCTTTGATATGATTTAAATCAAATTCCTCATCATTATAATTTGTTTCTGATAGTGAAGAAAGTGATAGAGAGGTTATCGAGAACGAAAAAATTTTGATTGACAAATTAGTCAGTATTTTCGACACAGCATTTATGGGACTTGAACAGCGGAACTTTGTAACTGAACAAGAAATTATGTCTGTTTATAGAATTAAAGAGAATGTATTATCACATAAAAAACGAAGCAACAACTTACATTGAAAGAAATGTTTAATAAAGTAAACAAATAAATATTAAGCTTTTTATTTCTAAATTTTGATACCCTTTAGATCATAATTGTTCTTTATTTCATAAATTATGGTTTCATATTTTTAATTTTTAATTTCTGCATGCCCTCTTACCACATTTAAACTGATGATCTATAATCCGGAAAAATCGATAATCCGGAATCGCCGAAGTCCCCGAGTCCGGAATAACGACTTTTGACTGTATAAGTATTTTAGTTATACATTAAAGTTATAAATTTTAAAGATAATAACACAGGAATTACAAAATATGAATATTTCTGAGAGATTAAACACAGTTTTAAAAATTTCCACGAATTTTCATACTGTTTTTCAGTTTACAATATTTAAAATTTAAAATATAATTCTCGAAACAAAATCATTAAATAGATTGAATTATGTTAGGCATCAATAATTTTCAAAAACATAAAATATTAACATTGTGCTCTTTAGTAGAAGAAAGGCATTAAGTTTATTAAAAAAGGGATATTAATAAATATCCTTAGTAATAGTCTCACAACAATAGTGTCAGTTTCAATAACAAATCAAATAACATGTATTTACAGACTATGATATTTTTAATTACAACACTTTTTAGTAAAGGAATTAGAAGAAAAGCATTAGTCAGAAATATCCATCACTGAATTAGCCCCATGAACAAATCAAGAAAAATATCCTTTTTATCAAAATTATCTGTAATTTTTTATTAATTAAAATACTTCAGGCCAATATAAATATAATCCTGCAGACATCTCTGCATGTAAATTTCTAAAAACATCTTTATATCACAGAAATATTAATATGAAACACAGAATCTGAATGTAAATACATAATATGAATACTTGTATAATACAAATATAAAGGGATTTTGTAATTCCTTTTTCATATATAATAATTTTTGATAATATTTACGTACCTAATTCCATTTTTATATAGCCTCTATAATGCATTTTATTCCCTCCTTTTTCTGATGATAAAAAAATTTAAATTAGATAATTTTGACAATTTTAATGAGGGTCAATTTTCTTCCATTCTCCATTCTGCAAAAGGTTTTTTAAACTAATAATAACTTGACAAGCCTTTAAGAAATTAAAATGTTATAAAAGGTATCATGACCAAAATTGTTGGAGTAAAAGTTTACCTAATTAAATTCATTTCTGAATTTAGTTAATATCAACAACTATTTAATTCTGTAATATTTTTAAACACACTATGCAAGTGATGCTACAATTACACAAAAATATAATGAATATGATTAGAAGTTTGCAAAATCTTCATGAATTATATAATTTCTTACCAGTTACAATTAATATTGTAGGTATATCAATTGTTCCAATGGGACTTTTAGCAGAACAGATGTAAGTTCCAGCATCCTCTCCTTTTACATCTGGGATAGTCAGCAAACCTTCAGACTGTGTTGCATCCAAAGGCAAGACACCACCTTGTTTATACCAAGTGTAAGCAACAGGCGGATCTAGTGTAGTTTTGCAATCCAAGACAACAGTGGAGCCAAAAGGTGCTGTCCGTGTTTCCACTAAATCAGGTTGAATTGTAGGTGGAACTAATGGAAAATAACATAAACCCCAAGTGTTAAATTAATAACTTTTAAATATGAATAAATAAAAATATTTAACTCAATAAGCTAATATTATAAATACTATCAAATATAACTTACATTAAAACTCCACATTAAAAGACAGCATAAAAATATTAAACAGATGTCATTAATACAAAATACAAGAGAAGTTATAAAGATACATATAACTCAAAAAAAGATAATTCACATAAAATGAACTGCATATTAGTCAGAAATTTATTTTTGGAAAGAATACAGGAAAAAGCACTCTAGAATATTTCAGCACACACACACACACACACACACATAAAAAAAGAGAGAGAGAGAGAGAAATGTACAGAAAAATACTGAATCAAGAATTAAAGAAAATAGCCATTTCTAATTTTTTAAATCCAATTTTTCAGTATAAGAATAAAAGTAAAACATATAATAATAATAAATCAATTCATATACAAAAATGAATAATTCAAAACCTCCATCCAGGCAAAGGATCATTTTTAAGCACTTGTACTCACTGGTGGTATCATAAATTAAAGTTTGTGTAACTAAAAGAACTCTCCCCAAAATTAAGTATTTAAACTACTAAAAACTGAAGCACTAAAATTCCATGAATTAGTAAATAATTTTGCTGTATATCTCAAGGAAATGTTAACGAATCTGTGAAGAAATTATCAATGCCTCATTTTAGAAACATCCCAACAAATGATTTATGAAACACTAAAGCAACAGTTATTCATGGAATATTAAATTTTATTTCATGTTCTTTAAAAACTGTTTTCTTTTAATGGTAAACACTGAAATATTTAAGCTGTACTATAATTAATTTCCTCTGATGCCTTTTTGGAGGCTCAGTGTGAATGCAATAATTTTTGGTAATCAATGCTTCATGGATTTTATTCATCGAGCATTGATTCAATAAACAGTTTTAAATTGTTATAAAAATAATTTTAAAGAGAATTGCAAAGTAGTTCTTGCAACAGACAGACAAAACACCTATTGTGAACTTTGGAATTTCTCATCTCATATGTTCCTGTGCCACACTAACTTCACACTTCTTTTTCTATAAGGAGTATCCAGTCCCAAAGATGAATACTTAGAACAATATGATAAACATAACAGTGGAGATGAGGCAATCAACTTTTGAAACAGAACTGTATTCATAATTCAGTATAAGTGAAATTTTGAATCATAGTCTATATATGCTACATGACAACTTTACAAGCTATACTTTCTATTTTTTTATCTAAAATTTAAAAATATTCCAATTATTTGAGACTTTAGGTTTTTACTGTGCTAGAACTCAGAATCAGTGGAGTAGTGAGCATAACTGGCACCCGGGGCAAAATACCTTTTTGGCGGCCCCCCTTCCCCCAAAAAAACATGGTTATATATGATGAAAATCTTGTTTGGAGACCATTTGGCGCCCCTCTGCGAGTGCCGCCTGAGGCATCATACATCCCCTTTTCCCCCCTTCGCTACACCACTCCTAAGAATACATGTTTACTCATTTTCATGGTCCTAGGTATTTTTTTTTCTTATGAAAGCAACTTCAGTGGTAAGCTCCCCATCTTTCATTAACAGATTAAAATCTTCCTTCTTCAGTATTCATTGCATCCCCTACAGCCTCATAGCCATAAACATTTCCTGATTAATTTTGGCTAATTTTTGCCTCAAAATATCCCTTCCAATTAGCAAAATTTTAACACAGTTTTAACCTTTGTTTATTCAATTATTTTCAATTTTTCCCCCTTCAAATTTTTTTGTTTGAGTGTATGCTCACATTTCGATTTTCTGTATTGTAAAAGAAGAACAGAGGAACAAGCTGCAATTTACTATTATTGAACATAACATTAAGTATAGCAACACATAGGAGTTGGTGTAACTATAAGGTTTTCAATATTATTATTTATTATTACTGCTTTCACACACATACTATTCATACTGTTCCTCTGGGGCTCAAATTTTGAATGAATATAATTTTAAAATGCTATAACGAACATACTTTGTTCATAAGCTAGATGTCATGTAACTGAATGTTTTGTGCTACATGCTTTCAATGAACAATGTTATATATATTAAGTTACATGTAAGAACAATGTTATAATGTTATATACATACATTAAATATACCTATTCTACTTTCCAAAAATAGTTTCAACTGGTTATACAAAGAAATTATTATCTGAAATGCTCTGCTACACTGGTTAAAATAATTGGTTCTTCAAAAAATTCAGTTTTAATTGAGCAATTTTCAAATGCTTAAGAAGTAATAAGCAATTCACATTAAAAAGTTATAAATTACCTTGTATGGCTAATACATAATCATCTGTGAATAATCCAGCATAACTCTGTACAGTGCAGCGATAAACACCTCCATTTTCAGGCATTACTCCATTTATAACCAAAACAGGTCCTCGAATCCTCACATTGTCAGGCAGGGGCCCATCTTGAGCAACCTTTTGCCAAGATATATAAGCTGTAGCATCACCAGTAACTTTACAACGTAAATCCAATGTATCACCCATATTCACAATCTCTTTGTTAGCTTCAATGTTCACTTCTAATGTTGGGACCGCTGAAAAGATCACAAAGCAAATATAGTACATATCTCAGCATAAAGCCAATATTGTATCAATATAACAGAAAAATATATCTTAAAGTTAGCTTTAAATATGTTTTAAGCCCCTAGATGACATCTGTTATAGACCTTTACAACAATCAGTAAATTTGTACATATCCAATAAAACTTTGTATCTTGCATATGACCTAAAATTCAGCCAGTTCTTAGAGTGCTTGAACTTCTGCTGGTTGGTGAGGCAGGGTACTTTCATTCCATACATTGTTATTTCAATGAGGGTATGGCATGGAAATCCAAGAATAATGCTGCTCAACAGTTCATCCTCTTTGGCATTGTACCCGCTCAGAAATAACAAAGCAGTAGCAAAACATTTACTGTTATGCTTCTTTGCAAGCCTTTTTGGAAACCCAAGTATTCAGTAACAGTTTCATGCAAAATTGTAAGTGAAATTTCAGGAAATAACTACAGAAAGATAGGAGATCATAAAACATCTAATCCTCTGAATTTTTGCATCAGCTTGACAAACTAGTTCATCACTCACAGTAGATGGCCGGCCACCTCTTGCTTGATCATGCACATTTGTTCTGCTTGAAATGAATAACTGAACTCCTTTTCTAATCATTTTCTCATAGCTGTATGGCCATGCTCTTCACAGATTTGCCTATGGATTTAACATGTTCACAAAGTCCAAAACGTGAATTATGAAATGAATTTCACAGTTCGCAGAACCTTCTGTAGTCTTCAATATCTTTAGTATACTTTTAAATTGTGCAGGTTTAATATTTCTTGTTACCAAACAATTTTCTAGTGTGTCTTGGATATAAATGGTGATACTGCCTCATGATTCAATTATGGTTGCTATGGTAATGAGCCTGTCAAGTATGTAATTTATGTGTTCCATTCTTTTTTATTATTGCTACAGTGCTTTTGAGTGATGTGTGCATTAAAAAATGATGTGCCGTCACGTTGACAGCATTTCTTCTATTTTAAAGTGTTTGTGTAAATAAATAAAGCTACGGTCCACTTTTTGTGCATCTTATTATTAACCAGTGTATAACAAACTTTTTTGAAAAAACTTTGCTTTTTAACTAAACAATTATTGTTACTTTAAAACCATTTCTTTCAGATGCTGGGATAAAAGACACCTTTACACTACTTTACATTACGAAAACAAATGCTTCAGAATTTTTAAACCATCTCCTGGATGTTTTATCTAAAACTGCATTTACGTTAAAAACTTTCGCTAGATTTCAAATGCTTCTGAAGCATTTCTTCCTTCTTGGAGTTAGTATAAAATACAGTGTCATAAATGAATGAACTTTATTGGTAGCCATGTCTACATGATCATATCTCAATAATGATACGAGACACTTTTGCTTCAATTAATTTAGAAGAGCACATGTGCATAAATGCAGTGATAAAGAAAGAAAGCCATATATGTTTCAAATGAACATGTACATGTGTGCTGAGACTTGAAACAGCATTATCAGAGAGAACTTTCCTGTAGACCTCATATGGACTTGTAATTAAAAAAGATAAAATTTAAATATATTCTATATTACCAGATATGTGGGCATATTATTTAAAAATACAAACACATTTCCTTTTGAAATTGAACTAACAATAAACTTATTTCAGTTTATTCAAGTGAAAGAATAAAAATTAATTAAAAGTTTGGAAGAGAGATAAAAATAAATTTTGGAAATGCTTTTATAGAAAGAATTTAGAAATTGACATTGCCAACATGAATACACTATTTTTAGATCAAGAAAGAGCAGAAATATTTTTATACTTACCTCGCACATTAAGTGTTACATAATCTCTAGTACGACCTGCAGTATTTGAAGCAGTACAAATATATCGACCTGCATTCTCCATTCGGATGTCCTTTATCCTAAATTATTACAATTATTCAGTATATGAAACAGAAAAACTCAGTGAACTTATTTCATGATTTGAACATAAAAATTTTAATCTGCATCAATTTTCTATGCACAACAGATAATAAATAAAATTTATGTCCAAATATTTTCAAGCACAACTTGTATTTTTATATTAATATCTACTATTAAAATATTCCATGACCATAAAAATTTATGCATGTTTATTTATAATGGACATAAAAATTAGGTCCCATAAATTCAAATGATCATATTTCAGTTGACACTACAAGTCAAACTCAGAGAACAATATTTTTGAAATATAAAAACTGCCTTGAATATGATACACATATTAAACCATTTACAGTATTAGAAAATTTTTATTAAATTACTTCTGAACAGACAAACTAAAAACACAGCATTTAATACACAAGAGTATTAAATATCTAAAATATTATTTACATTTTAATAATAAAATCACATTTCAGATTGCAATATTTAACTACAAATTTATACTGCACACCTTGTATTATAAATATTTTGACTAAATTATTTTTACAAAACTTACCTCCCCAAAAGTTAATGAAACTGTAAAAAACTCATAAAAGTATTAATTTCAGTTTAAACAGTTTAAAATGTCATATTTGACTGCATCTTACAACTATTAATCATTTAGTCTGTATAAAAGAAACACATAGATGTAAAATTTTATGTGTTTGCATTAAATTAGGCATTCTTGATAGAAATCTAAAATTATTAAATTTTCTAATGCTAATAAATATCGTACTAAATGCAAAATACAAACATTACCATAATTCATTGTTGATAACTTTTGCATTATTTGGCAAGGGACTTCCATCTTTACTCCACTCTAACTGTGGTGCTGGAGAACCAGCTACTGCACATTTCAACTGGATGTTTGCACCTATAAAAGCTGTTTGCTCTTTTCGAACATAATCAATGGGAGTTTCTTCTGAAATAAGAAAATTAAGCATACCAACTCTTTAAGAGTTTTTACAATGAGAATCTGTAAGTATTTACAAAATTCAAAATAAAATTTAATTTTTCTGCTACACTAAGAGATGTGCAAAACATTTCAAAATGTTATTTTCCTACTTATATTTATGAAGATGATTTACATTTAGAAACAGAACTAACATACTGACCAAAATGATAATATTCATTATATGAATTACTTATGCACCTAAAGCATTAATTTTGGTCACTACACCAGAAACCTACTTAATCTTCTACCAATAACTTCAAAAATACACTTTGCTAACTAAACAAATTGATTTAAAATTCCAGAAAAAGTGGAAAGAAAATTTTTTGAATTATTACCATTTACAACTACTTCAGCTACTCCCTCAGCTTTACCAGCAGCATTAACTGCGGTACACAGGTATCTCCCAGCATCATTAGCTGTAATTCCTTGGAATGTCAGATCTCCTCCTGACTGAACCATATTTGGTGCCAAATATCCTCCTATACGGCTCCAGTCTATTGAAATTGGTTGATCCCCAGTTGCAGTACATTGTATACGAATGATATCACCAATTCTAGCTGTTTGTCTAGGTGGATTCAATTGTATTCTCGGAGGAGCTATGATATAAAATCTCCCATCAGAAATACATACACACAGAAATACATAGGCTATTATACTCATAATGATTAGTTTATAGAAACTGCTGATATTAGTAATACATATCTCACCTCTAGACCAAACTCCTTTAACGATGCAGCAAAATTAAATTTAAAAGGTCAGATATTAATGCAATTTATTTTACCATAGAATGTATTACCAATATATCATATGAAAAAACTAATTAAAAATAAATATCATATCATAAAAAGTATTACCAACATATAAAAAAATTTTCAGTACAGTTCAAAATATTCATAATGCACTAATGTGGAATATACAAGTAGGATTGCTATTTAACTAAAGAAAATGTTAACTTTCTGCTTAGATGTTTTGTTTTTATGGCAAATCTATTCATAATAAGATGCAGCATATTTGAAAATGTAAGTAACATCAGGATTTTAATCAAACTCAAATCCTTGTGGTTACTCAAAAGTTATTGAGTGCTCATCATTAAAAAAGAATGTCTAAATTTTGTTTTAAATCTAAGAATTAAATAGTGCACAAAAAGTTTTTTTCTTTTCTTTTTTTTTTTTTTTTAAACTTTAAGGAAAACAAGCCTTGATTTTCAACAGTTTTTATATACAAACAAACAAAAAATATATTGAGGAGAGGGCAGCGGTGCATAGTATTTAAACCAAGTGTCTTCATTTAAAATTTTCTTTTCAGAAAATTCTAAATTTCCTTTTTTATTTAAATATGAATTATTAGATGAGGTTGCATGTTTCTAGTTGTCCTGCAGCCAGAACTAGTATTTAAAAGCCCTCTGAGAACAGAGCTACATGCCATATAGTCAGCAATATTTTTTAAAAGGGTTCTCTTGCACCTTGAAGAATAATTAACTTGCCTAAATGCTCCTCAAATCCAATTTTGCTACTATTAATGCAAGACTGAATGTTGATCAACTATTACAGTGCATTTCAGATAAAAGTATTCATTATCTTCAAAATTTTTTCACAGTGCTATAACACATCGGATGTTTTCCTCAATACTCCATACTGGTATAAGAGTACCCAAGTGAGATTCCATTTGTGTACAATTGAGAGAAAAACTGACCATATACCTGGCACAGTTATCACCCCACATTCAAAGTTAACTCATATTGTGATGCCCTACCATATTTATAAAACTGCATACTCTGACTGTATACAGTTCAGTAGTGAAAAACACAATACAGTCAAATACCAAAAATCCGCCAACCTAAAATCTGCATTATCTCTCAAAATATAAACATCCAAATTTTTAGCTTCCGGAAATTGCAACATGGAGAATGAAATATTGAAGAAAAATACTTACCGAATAATAATGACTCATAACGGAAATACCAGAGCAAGAAATACCAAATTACTGACTTTATGATAAATGTGCCCCCCCCCCTCCAATCTGCATCGAGGTAAAAAATGAATCAGAATTTTTGAAAAAAATTCTTTCAGGTGACCATTCTATTTCACTTTGTGATTATAAAAAAATTCACCATCAAAGACTGCATTTATTTATTATCAAAATCATAGAATTCTGTTTCCCAAACAACATTAGTAAATGCCTGTTGTAATGTAGGTTCATCTTCTCTGTTTATTGAAACAGAGTGATGACAGTGAATTTTTTAGTTTTAGGGTCAGTTAAAGAATTGCTTTTATATTAGAAAGAAAGAATAAATGAGGACGCTTTGAAAGGAAAAGATATCGTTGAATGTATGATGCATTTAGATGAGCCAACACTGGCTCATCAGATGACCGATAATGAAGTCATTGGCTCTGTTTTGAACTCGTCACAGCAAGAAAATGATTCTGACACCACCACAGATTGTGAATTTGATAGGAGTGAGAAAATATCATTTATTGAGAGCTTGGAACATAGTGAAAAATACCTAAAATTTTTAAAACAGAGCTGTGTCCCAGAGCAAGAGATTATGACTCTTACCTTAAAAAAAAAAAAAAAAAAAAAAAAAAAAAAAAAAATCTGGAGCGCCCTAGAGTTTTAAAACAAACCTCTACCAGAAAAATGTAAATGTAGCATGTAAAAAAATGAAATATTTTATGCTTTATTAATATCCCTTATTTTTATATGTCTTTATTGTATATGTCCTTAATGCTTTTAAAAAACCCTGTAATCATTGTAATATAAATGAATAATCTATAATAATTTAAGGCATATAATAAATTAATGTATATAATAATTTAATTAAATGTATTTAATATGCCTTGTTTATTATGAATATTATGATTTATCATTTCTGTCCTGAAATTCACAAAATCCTAAAATTCGCAAAACCTCTGGTTCCAAGCATTGCGGATTTCTGGACTTCTACTGCATACTGTAAAAATGGGATGGCAAGTATATGGCATGGAATATGGTTTGTACACTTCCTACACTAAAAGTGTAATAACTGGATATTAAGGATTTTTAAGGACCACCAATGAAAACATTAAGGACCTACCGGCAAAACAAAACTGAAAAACTTTTAAACAATTAACTAAGCAACCACTTTCACTTTTGCAATACAATTTTAAGAATAAAATGGGAAAATGTAGGATGCATCATCATTAAACACAATCTAATACTTAATGTAACTATGAAAAACAAGTTTTAGAATAAAACCAACTCAAAAAGTATTTTCAAGTTCATCTACATTTTATACTTGCAATATCTGCCCATATTTTAAAGAAAATTTTTATGGTAATTATTCAAATATCTTTTATTTTTTAAAATCATTTATTAAAAAAGGACTATTAAAATCATAGTCTAAAATTTTTTTTGAAGTTTAGAGAAACAGATTCTGAAATGTCTTTGCATTGCTACACTATCAAATAAATACCCAGAGACAAACGTAAAAGTTTTTGCTCATAAAAAGATGCTTACTTATGTATTGAAGATACTTGTCCTGGAAATGTCTTATTTTCCCATTAAGTTTGAAAAATATTATATCTCATTACTGAATTCAATTAACAGTATGATATTCTAAATTTGAGCTTTTGTATATTAAAGCGCCAAATTGATTAGTAGCATTAGAGTGACAGAATTATTATATAATAATAGAAGACTTCTATTTTGAAATTTGAGCTCAAAAACCAAATCAAAAAGAATTTTTTTGTGAGAAAAAATTTGAGCTCTTGTATTAGGCTGGCAGATTTCTTATGCAGTATAAGATATTTTTCTTTTGAAATTTGAGGCCTTTTATTAGAGTTCCAAATCAAGAATTTTGTTGTGTGAATCAAGTTAACCACTTGTGCTAAAAAGACGCGCCACGCACGTCGAGATGCATTGTCTAAAATCGCGAGCAACGTAAACACAACATCGATAGGCATTTATCGCAAAAACGAAAATAATGTGGTGCACACATCACCTAACAATGAGATTGTTTATTTCTTGAGTTACAGCTCTGGATCGCACTCGCTAATGCAGAGCGGCATAAATGAGACACTTTATCGCTTGTTATATTGTAGCACACGGCACCACAACCGTGAAGTTTAATCATAGTGCAAGTGGTTAAAGAGTTGAATTTTTATTTACTCTAGTATTTCTTTATTAAGAGCAATCTTGGCAGATTGTTTTTTGAATGAAAAGCATAGGTTTTTATTGCACTGAGTGTTTTCTTTGAAATAAAATACTCTGTCTCATATTTGAATTTCTAATTTTACAACACAAATACGTAAATAAACTGCTAGATTGTGTAGGTTGATTTGAAACTTTGTATACTTGCTAAAAGTGTATTTGCTTTAAAATTTAATTTTGATACTCTATGGAAAAATTTTCTATTACAACAATATCTTTTCTTGCTAAGAGTAGAAAACAAGATTTAATAAAGGTAGCCAAAGAGAATTAAGTGGGAACATACCACTTACTAGTAAGGTCCCAGAAATTAAAAGTGTAATAACTGGCAGAGTGTTAAGATGAGGAAGAAGTTAATTCTAAATCAAGTAATTGCTGATTAAGAAGCTAAAGAAGCTCAAGAAGTGAAAGAAGAATATCTGGCTCAAAAAGTGAAAGAACATCTCGCTCTGGAAGCAAAAGCACTTGAATTAGAAATAAAGTGGTTGAATCCAAAATCGAGAAATATGAACTAGAGTATCACCAGAAAATATAGTTGAATCGAACCCAAACCCAATAAAACAATAAAATCCAGTGGCCATTAATTACTCCCAAATCTGATGAAACAAAGGATGAAATGGGGCTAGATTTGATTAATTTTGAGAGATGAGGTCTTAAGATTGGGTAGCTTTTGGGTGTTTACCTGCCAAAATCGACAATACGCTAGTTGGAGATGCAACTAAGTATGATTACTTAGTTGCCTGAAAGTGTATTTGCAACTAAGTATGATTGCGTGAAAAATCTGTATAAGTGTATTAAACAAAGCTTTAAGAAAGAAAAATCATAGAAAACAGGGTTTAAAACCACAAGAGGGTCATCAAAATGGGAACAGAATGCAAAGTAGCTATCACAGTAAATGCAATCTTAAGAAAATCTCAGAAGGTTTTAATACTAAGTCTGTAATTAAGACAGAATTTACTAATAAAATTCACGAAAAGGAATTTGAAAAATCGAGACAACCTCATTGTTTGGATATCACTCTCATCTCCAACCTCAATGTGATAAAAAGAAGCAATTTGGAAACTGTAGCCTCAAATGGAATTCTCAAAATTAATTTTAAAGTACTATGGCTTCAGACACCAGCCTAGACAAAATAAATGTCTATAAAAGTGCCATACTTAGAGACACTGGTGCAATTTTGCTCTTAATTTGCGAAAGTATGTAAAGCCTTTCATGTACATGAGTGGAACTGTGTAGATACGGACATCTCTGGAAGAACATCCAGTCTGCTTACGTTTGGTTGAGATAGAACTTAAATGTGAACTTGGTCATGTAATAACAAAGTCAATGTGAACTTATTCATGTAATAACAAAGATTCAATAATAAATCTTAAGAAATTCATTAGACTAAGGAATGTACCTTTTGTAACAAAACAGCTACATTATTTGAAGCAAAACGAGATGAAGAAATTCAAATTCATATGATAAAAACCATTCAAACTCGAGGTCTAGTAACTTCTAGAAGAAACAGAAAATCAAGGCTAGACAGATAAGTTAAATTAAGCAACTGATGTTAGGGACAAAGACAAATTGAGTTAAAATGATATTTTGCCTGTTTAGGAATTAATTGTTCTGAATTAGATCTTATAAAGGCCTCTCCAGAAATATTTATATAAGATCAAAAGGGAAGCACTGAAGCCATTATATGAAGCTAAATCTTGTAAAGGTACTTGCATAATACCTTATCTGAAAACATCAGAAAACATCAGATTTCCATATAGTAGACAGAAGAGATACTTAAATGTTGTCTATATTTGATGAACATATTCTTAAGGCTGTTGATAAATACAAATATATACCAATATAATCTAATCATTCACGTATAAAACCATGTGAACCTGCTGTTTTAAATAATACAGTTTTGCTCCCTGAAGATAAGGAATTGACTAAAATTATCCCTTTCGCTCATTTTCAAATGAAAATAATATAAATGTTTCTCAAGCTTCTATCTCTTCTCCATCTAGTATAAATAAAGATACATTCATGATGAAATGCAACCTATAGATGCATCAGAAAGATCTGCAGATAATCTTGCAACCCAAGAAAATAATTCTTTTAAAACTAGAATTTTGCTCTAAAATGGAAACATGCCTATTGAAACTGGAGACCTGGAGACTTAGAGAAAGTCCTTTTTTCAGATCACAATACACAAAATTCTGCAAACAGTCCTCATCAAAGGTATCAAGACTGGACGAACTGAATCTTGATAAAAATGACTTTGACTTTGAAAAGCATGACAAGAAACTTTTTAATGATGATTATTATGACATTCAAGAAGAAAAATGTCCACAATTTCCTCATGATGAGGATCTCTATAATGAAGATTGGGATTATTGGACTTGACAATGTAAAAGTGATGTGTGGGGTATAGAACAGCTTGATGAAAGCACTTCTGAAGAATCAGATACTGAGGTTACAAATTTTTAATCAGAGTTTGAGAAAGAAATGATTGATGATTGAAATCCTGATTTGCTAAAGCAATTTCTAAACTAAAAACAGAAGGAAAAAAAAATCAAAAGAAAGAAAAAGAAAATCAAAACAGAGCATAATTGAAATAAATAAGTAAAAATCACACACACACGCACGCACGTGCGCGCACACACACACACACACACACAAAAAAAAAAAAAAAAAAATTCTTCACTAGTCAGTTGACTTATCACTTAAATAGAACATTTCCCCAAGAAATAATTCTTCTAATAAAAGGAACATTTTCAGCTGCCTATAGGAGACAAAAGATATACTTTATCTGATGAAAGGTTGGGTGCATAGGGTAGTAATCCAAACAAATTTCATAGCAAAATAATATATTCCCAAAAATAATTTACTAATAAATTCTTTATTCTATGAAAATAAAAACTTTTCTCTGAAAAGTTTTCCATGAGGAGTTTCAGATTGCAACATCTTTGCATTGCTGTGCTGCCAAATAAATACCCAACAAGGAATGTAAAAGTCCTCATGCTTAAAAAGATGCTCGCTTGAAGATCTTTGTCCTGAAAATGTTTTAGTTCTCTGTAAGTTTGCTAAATAAAACGTTTGATGTTTGACAAAAATGGTTTAAACATTTCATTATAATGATTATACAACCAATTTATTACATTAGTTTTTAAAAACATGTTAGAATAATTATACACTTGAAGATATAAAAATTCATAATATTACAAAATATTTCCAGCTTTTTAATCTGAAATTTTTCGAGTATTTTAGCTTATTTATAACTGCTTCCCTTTTTTAATAACTTTTCTAAATTCATTTCTTTAATAAATAAATGTTCCTACTAGTCTCTGCAGCATCTGCTAATTTGTTAATAATTTCAACAATGAATCTTTGAAGAAAAATATCCTTTAGCTTTATGTAAACAATTCCCTTCTCAATAATTTTATTTATTTTAAATTTGCCAGTTTAAAGTTGGCAGTGAATAACAGAACTCACAGTGTAAAAAGGAAAAAGTTACGTTTTTATGCAATAAAAAGAGCAGACTTTAATATCCACCAAGCATATGTCCTTTAAATACAGAACTGGTAACAAATCACAAAATTAGAGCAGTTTCCATAAAAGTTATTAAAATTTTGTGAAAGTTAGTACACTTGCATCAACTGTGGATTTATAAGTCTTACTAGAACCTATAGTCTAAAAGAAAAGCTGCCTCAGCAGTCAGCCACCATTGTTGATCCTTTCTTTATTTGACTGATTATTTCTTCTCTAAATGGAATACTCAGAATCAAAATGGATGAGTGGTATTCAAACCGCAGTCAGAGTTTCAACCCTTACTTACATAACATAAATTCAGATTTTATAGAATTTTTGTCCTCCTTTAATACCATTATAAATTTTCTCGGTCCCAAATTGGGTTGTGATCCACAGTTTAAATATCACTGCTCCAGCTGGTCCTCATTATTCCTAGCAGCACAGCAAAAAGTGCAGCTGAGCTTCCAGCATAAATATGTGCCTTCCCAAAATTTAGATTGTCAGATTTGTTCAGAACATCTTTTCCCTTTTTTGAGTATCTTATATAAGTCTCTACCATATCCTTAAAGAACTTACATATTCTTTGAAAACAGGAGTAGAAGCATGAGTTTTATGAAATTTGATCTTAAACTTCCTTCATTTTCACCATTTTTTAACTCACATTTTCATTACAGTTGATCAAAGCGTACCTATATGTAAAAAATCCAAGATTTTTTTTTTTTTTTTTAATACACAAACAGTATTTTTGTTACAAATAAATATGTGTGAATAACCAATTAGAACTGCAAAACTTTCTTTCTCCAGTGAATAATCTTATCTTTTTTCAACATCCGATTCAAATTGCTCTGTTATGAGCCATATGGTTTGAATTCGACTTTCATCCGAAACGTTAATTCATGTTTAGAATGGACTTACAGAAAAATTATCTAAATGCCAGATGAGGAAAATTAAGGAGCAGTTGCAGATTTTGGCTCAAATTAAAACCTTTAAACAAGGGGGAGAAACAACCCTAAGACCTAAGTCAATCCTAAGTTAATGACTGCAAGAACCTTGGCAAAAGCAACTGCTTTTTTTTTTTTTTTTTTTTTGTATGGATGCATCAAACTAAAAATATGTATCTTCTATAACATATCATATTTAGAAACTGGCTTAAAAATAAAGATAACTCAATTTTGCAACAGATATTTTATTATCTACTACAGCAATAAACAGAATTAATGAATAAGCCACATACAAATTTTAAAAACTGTTGAACATAAGAACCAATGCTTAAAATCCATTCTTTCATAAATTTTTATTATTTAACTAACTTACCAACAACAGCTAGCCTGGCTTTGGCTGTGAAAAGAACAACGTCACCTTCAACAATGCCTAAACAGGAATATTCTCCAGCATCCTCAGGCTGGACATTTGGTATATATAGTACTCCTTCCCGTAGTATGTGGTTTGCTGGAATTTGGCCACCATCAGTTTTAGTCCATTTTAAATATATATCCCTATCAGTTCCTGAAGATGAATCATATTCCAAATTAATAGCTCTATATATTCTATATTTATTTTCATTTACATTAATTATTAAATCTTGAACTTTTACATTTTTTTTAACCTTGTTATAAGATAAAAAAATTTATCTGCAAAGTAATGGATATTTTGGCTGAAAGATAAAATTGCCATTGAAAATGAAATTTTGAAGCTAATAGTTTGAAAAATGAAAGAACTATATAAAAAATTAGCTTATGGTTTTAATTAAATTAAACTATCAATAACTAGAGCTTCTAGTGCTATATAAAACTTGTTTTGTCAATATGCAAAGATGACCTCCAAAAGGGAATTTGAAAAATTAAGTTTCATTTAATCATATCTTTGACAATTTATTTGTTTGTGTCAAGGTAACAAATGCATATAATGAGTTGAGACAGTATTCTACAAATCTAAGAGTGAAATAACGTAAAGCATCAGCTATCTTTTATAAATCTTTTTTTTTTTCCATTATTAAAACTGAAAAGTTAAGTACTCTACTCAGAATCACTATTTAAAATTAAATTTAGATTAAAAAAGTCTTAATTTGAAGTAACAGTAACTCTAAAGTTAAATTTAAACTAAATTAAAGTTTTAAATATTTTTTTTAATTTATTACTTATTTGAAGATATAAAGAAGTATTAATAATTTTTAGATATATATACATTCTTAGCACATCAAAATAACTGCAGATTATGTTGCTTTAATTACAAATTTATCTATAAATAATAATATGCTTATTTAAAAATGGAAAGCAAATACCTCTCACAAAACATCTTAATTCCACGCTGCTATTAACAGCAGCAGTAGTAACCCTGTCTTCAACCATTATTTCTGGCACAACAGATTCACTGTCTTCCACTGAAACCAAAAATATAAGTAAGTAAAAAGATGCATTTAAATATAAGTACTTTAATTCTGAAAATTAATAACTCTTAACTGAATCAAGAAATTGGTTGTAATGCAAATTATTCATTAGTATTTTGCACTTATGTAAAAAATTAAAATTTAAATTAATAATATATTAATATTTATTATATCAATAATAATTATTATTTATTGAACTATTATTTATTATACATTAATATTAAAGAAGATATTTAAAGCAAATACATTTATTAAATAAAAAAGATCTCAGCATTTATCCTATCAATAACTATTCTGCACATTTCAAAAAAATCTCTCTCTCTCTCTCTATATATATATACATTCACAGTCACAATAGCTTTGTTTGCATTATATCAAGAAAGCTAGAAACACATTCTTAGCTATCATGAAAACAACACACATTATGACAGACACATACATAATCCATAACATGTGCTAAATAATTGAATTTACTTTTAGGTGACCATGTGCTCTTTTTCTTTTTAGAAAGGAACTTGCTCTGATATCAGCACATTTATCTCCTTATATGATTACAGAACAATTTTAGCATGATTGTTGTAAGACATATCAATACTAGAAATAACTAGTATAAAATATGATCAAAACTGTTTTCAAAAGAAACATAAATTTGACTCTAAAATGTGACTAAATTAGGTAGATTAATAGATTTAAAGCAAAGTGCATGAGTGCCGCCTGTCTATGGGAAGGAATACTTTCGTAGAGACATTTTAAAAAGAAAATACCTCATATTTATGTTAAACATGAGAAAACCAAGCTCAAGCATCCAGTTTGTTCACCTGGTTTTGAATCAGAGTTAAACTTCTAGTGCTCAGTGACCTTAATGTTTATAGATTAGTTGTTTTAATTTTATCTCATTAGTAACTCCTAAGCATTTTTTAGCTTTACATTATTATGAAAGTTCTGTTTTAGAAAATGCTCTTTTTTTTCTTTTTCTTTTTTTTTTTTTTTTTTTGTGTGTGTGTGTGTGTGTGTGTGAAGTCATTTTTACTATGGAGTCTACGAAATAAAGTTGGCTTGTTAAACCATTTTGACCAACTTTCAAAAATGAGTTGATGGATGGTTTGGTTTATTTCATCATGGCAAAGCACTCAAGGGCTATTTGCCTACAAAAATCGATGCTTTCACAGATGACTTTATATAGAAAACTGGCTCATATACTTGTTATAAAGATTAAAAACACCAATGCAGCCTGCCCATTTGCCTGGATTCAAACCCCAGACCGAACTACCAGTGTTCAGCAACTTTACCACTTGGCTGCTGGTGGAAAATAAATTGATGGAATGCTGTTCTTAAGTTTAATATTTCTCAGCCTTCTTAGGAAAGATTTTTGAAGACATTATTTGCAAATTAAAGCCAAAATCAAAATGAAAACATGAAATGGATCCATAATAGGAAATAACAGAGTGTTGAGAAAGTGCCAAAGATTTAGTTCACAAATCTTTGCGGAATGGCAATTAACATCTATTGATCCATCAAAAAGTTGAAGATTCAGCAAAAAAAGATGATTTTGTAGCAATAGAAGGCAAGTTTAGCTGATGGAAGAAAAGAGGAAACATTGTTTATAAACACATTCAAGGTGAAATATAAAGATGCTGATTTGCCTGCTGCAGGAACATAGTTGTCGAATGAATAGCTTAAATTGTCTGCAAAGTACTGTCTCGAAAAAATTTATAATATCAATAAAACAGGTCTGTACTACTATCATGCATTGTTTAAACATATATATTTATTTAAAACTGAAAGTTAAAAAATTGAAAAAATATCAAAAGATCATATAGCTGTTTTATGCATCATCAGTAAACATCGTCACTGGAGTAAAGAATTTACCAATATACTATAACTGTAATTCAAAGATGTGAATGATGCCACTAATTTTTAATGGATGGTTTCTGAAATGCAATAACAAGCTGAAGACTTTATTATTGCCTTCTTTTTGTTCATCACTACTAACATCTAAGGTAAATGTTGTTCTTAAACATAGTTATACATTTGCCTGCAAATACTACAGCCATAATTCAACCATATGTTCAAGAGAACATTAGAGCAATGAAAGAACGTTATTTTCATGAATTGTGGCAATGTGAATCAGTTATAGCATAGATGACATGAATATAAATACTAACCGATTAGCAAGGAAAGCTAGCCTTCTTGATGCGCTACATTTGCTGAACAGATCTTGGAGCTCCATTTCAGAAAAGACAAAAAACTGTTTTAAGCACACCAACCTTTTAATAAATGACGAAATAGAGGGAGAAATAAAAATAATGTTTTGAAACTAGTATGAATTCTGATGAATTGAATACTTGGGTTGATACTAATGAAAAACTCAAGTTGGAGTATCACAAATAGAAGATGATATCGACCAGTCACTTTCTGAATACCGTAATTTCCGGAAGAAACGCCGCGGCGTTTACGTGTTTAAAACTTAAATTTTCAGCGGGTGCGGCGTTTCTACCCATGCGGCGTTTAGGTGCACTAAAAATAAAATATTTCCTATGATGGTCATTGTACATAGTTTGGATGGCTTGTCATTCATTGTACATAGACTGGTGCTGTTCCCGCACGAAAGACCACTCAGTTGCTTTTTGCGAATGTTATTTTGTTTACATTCTTTCCCTTGAACGGACCTACATGTCTTATTCACCCTAAACGAGATCTCAGAACAATAACATTCTTCCCCTTTCAAATCAACATTCTCATCAGTTTGAATAGTCTTTCTCCTCTGCCATTTGATGAATCTTCTATCTTCTTTCCACTCCTGCCTTTTCTGCAATTTTTTTCAAAGGCGGACACGACTCCACCTGCCTCGCAATAACGAACTCCGACGTATTTCTCTTTCAGCATGAATGGATTTTTCTTGGCATTCTGCCAGATACAGATCCCATCAGTTTGGGTAAAAGTACTTGTTGGATAGTTTTTAAGTCATATATCAGGACTTAAGTTGAGTTTTTGCATCTATACGGCCCACGACGATGTCATGCGCAATTTAATCTATTGCAGCGTTTACGCTGATGCGGCATTTCTGTGTAATTTTAATTTTTTTCCCGCCATTTTTCTCGAGTGCAGCGTTACGCTGATGCGGCCTTTCTTCCGGAAATTACGGTAAATACTAATAGATTAGTAAGGAAAGCTAGCCTTCTTGATGTGCTTGCTACATTTGCTGAATAGATCTTGGAGCTCCATCTCAGAAAAGACAAAAAACTGTTTTAAGCATACTAACCTTTTAATAAATGATGAAACAGAGGCAGAACTGAAAACAATCTTTTGAAACTAATATGCACTGTGACGAATTTAATGCTTAGGTTGATACTTATGAAAAAACTCAAGTTGGAGTATCACAAACAGATGATATCGACCAGTCACTTTCTAAAATAAGTCACAGCAAATCATGTCGTACACTTTCTGTATAAGATGATGAAACTAATGAATTTTCTTCAAATGCTGACACGAGGGAGGGATTCTCTACAAGTACAGTCAAAAGTCTTTAATCCGGACTCGTCGGGACTTCGGCGATTCTGGATTATCGGTTTTTCCGGATTATAGATCATCAATTTAAATCTGTTAAGATGGCATGCAGAAATTATAAAATTAAAAATATGAAACCGTAATTTATGAAATAAAGAGCAATTATGATCTAAAGGGTATCAAAATTTACAAAAAAAAAAAAAGCTTAATATTTATTTGTTTACTTTATTAAATATTCCTTTCAACACGCGCATGCGTAAAGCATACATTATGCATAGTCAAGATTAGAAAATTCCAGCCAGAAAACTATTTGATGTGTATTCGTGATATTTATAATGATGAGGAATTTGATTTAAATCATACTGAAGACGGAGTACATCGAGATGAAATACTACATTTAGTAAGGAATTATAAGCCGAATAAAATAAAAACATCTGCCCTGAAGATAAGGATAGTGCTGACAGGTCAACTTCCAGTTCATTGCGCGCCGTGTCGCCGCAGAGCAGCGTGAAATTGATAAACAGATTTCGAAATGGTTAGAGAAACAAAGGATATGCCTTTATCCATTTTTTGCAGCAATTCCACTTTTTGTTTGATGGACATGGAAACATGCTTTCACTTTGTAGATCCTTTGGCAGCTGCAGAATCAGAAATTCTTTCTTACATAATCAAATTTCAAGCTTACTTTTATAAAATTGCTCTAACAGTCTGCAAAAAATAATAAGCCGGATCCATCTAATACCTTTATTCCCAATTTAATTTCATAATCTAATACCTTTATTTCCAATTTAAATTTCATAATCTAATACCTTTATTCCCAGTTTAAATCATTTCAAATATGAAACTATCAAACTATGAAAGTGACTCATGTTGAATATCTAAATAACAAGAATCTCAGAAGATCCAGATAATTTAAAAATCTAAAGAACTGAAAACTCTTACTTTTGATATATTTTTTTAAAGCAATTAATAGTCAGAATGGCTCAAAATACATACTTTAACAAATCTTATTTACGGTCATTTAAATAAATTGTAAATTGTAAATTTGTAAGTTAAATCAAATTAAAGCAATATATAGTATGAATACTTAAGCCCTTATCACATACGATATTTGTTGCCGGAACAAAACGTTTGGTGGAACAGTTCTGAGAAACGCTCTTTGGCGAAATAGGGTTACCATCTTCACTTGGTAAACAGGCTGAAAGCCAAACAAGAATCAGTTATGGCTCAGATTGGTGAAAGTGACGTTTCCTTTCAAGTGACGTTTGCTTCTTCGTGTTGTTTTGTATCGCTCACACTCTTTTTGGTTTAAACTTTATTGTTAGTAATGGAAGATAATAGAAAAGTGATTGTGTTAGAAGATTAACCCTTAACTTCCCAATTTTTTAAATTTCTATGAAAAAATTATATCAGCTACTTCTTAAGTAATAATAAAAGGAAAAAATATTTTTTTTAAAAAGTAAGCAGTTTTAAATTTAATTTCAGTC